GACTGATGGCTCAGAGCTGTCCCCGGAGCTGCCAGCCCTTCCCTGGGCTGGATGTGCCTCCTCTGTGCCAAGCCCTGCATTCCAGCCCGGGATGGGAGCAGCAGCACCCGCTGTACAGCGACAGAGAACACGGGGCCAGCTCGGACTGGCGCGTTCGGCACAGGAACAAGCCAAAGCATTACCTGTATGTTTGGAGATGCACTTTTATGAATGTAGTTTATATCGCTCTTTTTTAGCTCTTTTTACATCATGTAAACGGTGATGCCTCATCCATTTTTTTTTGTTTTTTGTTTTTTTTTTTAATTTATATCGTAAAAGATCATATTTGGTGATTTTTATATATATCGACTGTTATGGGGTGGGGGGAGGTGGGGAAATAAATTTGACGCCTTTATGAATTTAAAAAGGAAAAAAAGCAGCTGGTTTTGCAGAGAATTTGCTGATGGTTTATAATGAGTAGAGCCAAGCCAAAATGCCTCTTTGTTTCCTCACTGCCCTCTTGATTATGGAAAAGGAAGATCTGGATTCCCGAGTCCACTGCTCTGATGAATAACTTGGGGCTGACATTGAAACCACGGGCTTTTAACAGCCCTGGCAGCAAAAGAGCTTCAAGTGGACAGAAATGTAATTATACCTCAGAATTGAATTATATCTGGCCTCTTTATCCTGGCATACTAGGAAAAAAACTGGGAATAAACTCATTTAGGGAAGAGTGGAGGAGGAGTGCCAGGCTGACAATAAGCTATTGTGTCAGTTCCAAATTTCATGTTGGATTTCCTGCTGTTCCTTCCAGGGAATATTGGGTATTGGGGTCCCTGATGGAAGGTGCTGCAGAAATAGAGAATATTCTGTTTGACAAAGAATTTCTTATCAGAGTCCCAGTGTCCTGAAATGGTTAATCAGAAAAAAGTCCAAGATTCCCTTTGGAGAGGAACCTGGGGGAATGTGGCTGTCCCTGAGGCAGTTAGGAAACAAAGCAGTGACATTTTGGTCTTGGTGTGACGATTCTGTGCATTCCAGGTTATTTGCTGCTTCTCCAGAAAATCCCATCTTTGCCCGTTCTGTGGCACTTAGGTTGCATCAATTTGGATGGGGTTTTTGGGGTGGTTTTTTGCCTAATTTGGAATAATATTCCAAAGTTCCCATTGGCACCAGTTACCGACACAGACTGACCAGGAGGGAAAAGGCAGATGTGCCAGGAGCAGTTCAAAAAGGAAGAAAAGGATTTTGTTATCACCATAAATGATGCAAAGCAGGGAGAAGGGCTTTAACCTGGATTGTGCAGAAGACCTTGACCCAGTAGTCTCTATTTACCGACCGGGGGCTTGCAGTGCAAAGCCAGGCCAATGTATCATTTTATTTACAATAAAATTATCATTTATATGAAAGCCTGTTTGGGTAACTGTCCTTTTAAAAAGCAAAAATTTGGAGAAGGAAAGCCTCTGTGTTTCAGACAAGTGGAAAATACCGTGAGCTCCCTTCCAGAAATGGAGCTTCCCAGTTGAAGTGGAGGAATGTGGATGGTCTTGCCTTGGCTGTAACAGTGATTTGGGGAGAATGAGCTTTGCTGTCCCTGAGTAGGGCAGGAGAATGGGTAACCACATCTCCAAATACTTTCAGGTTTGATTTTTTTTCAGCTTGCTGTGTTAGGAACAAACCAAAACAGTGCTGCTATAAAATTCATCTTTTCTCCTTGCTGAAAGGTTGATTTTTTCCTGTTCATGCAGCTTCTCTCTTTGTCACTGTCACCTAATCAGTGTTTGGCTGCCACTCTGTCCCTTGAGGAGCTGGCCTCGCCACAACCAGCCTCCAGTCACCTTTTCCTGGGTTGTAGCTGCTGTCAGTGAAACACTGAACTATTTGTCAGTGTGAAATGTGAACAGATCAGAAGAGGGGGGACCAGCTGATACAGAAACCCATGAACCAAGCACAGGTGTGACTCCTGGGGCTGTGCCAGCACAGGTGAGACCCATCAAGTGCAGTTGTCTCAGAACAGAAATGTCTCCTGGAACCAGAGCAAACCACCTGACACCCCCTGTGTGCCAGAGCAAAGGAGGGACCTGGGAGCTCTCTGTCACCTTCACTTTGAGGAGGTTCTTCCCAAAGCTGGTGCCTTTCTGCTCCTTTCCCCTCTGTGTGCTCAGTTTGATGCAATTCACATCTTGGCCTTATCTGGTGGTCAGTTTTCTCCTGGACTCCCCTCCTGGTCACTCCTCTCAAAAGAAAGTAGCTCCACAGCAATTCTGCTTTCCGGGAACACAAAGTGTGTATTCCTAACTGGAATCTTCCCCACAGACACAGAATATCCTGAGCTGCAAGGGACCCACAGGGAACATCCAGTCCAGTTCCTGGCCCTGCACAGGACGCTGCAGGAATTCCACCTGTAGTGCTGGTTGAGCAGAGGCTGGGAGAAGAAAATATTTGGAGCCTTGAAAGTAGAAATGATCAGCCTCGAAATACTGACTAAAGCACAAAAGAAATGCAGAAAAGACCCTCAATTGTCTTTTTATTTCTGGTAATTTGTGTTATGTGTGTTGTATGGCCCAGGGGAAGGGAACTTAAGGTACATTTCCTCTCTAAATCCACTTCTGAAGCAAATAAAATATAAAAATCTCTAGAGGTCAGCCGTACCACACTGCTGTGGCTCTTTCTTTGGGGTAGTAAAGTGTGAACCAGGAAGCACCTGGATTTAATGCTGCTCAGGTGTGGGTGTATTGCATTATATCCAGGAAATGCTGGCACAATCCTCTCTCATGTCACTGGTTCTGCTGCTGAGCTCTGCCTGGTGCTCTGTAGCTCATCCAGAACTGGGCATCTGGATGGTATGCATGCATATGGACTTGTGTGGATTCATACTGATTTTTCTTTTTCCTCAAACAGCTTTTATTACATGGCTGTGCTTGGATCCTTATGCTCTGGAAATTGTCCTTCCCTGAGCTGAAAGGCAGCTTGGTGCTGGAGCCCTGTACTCACAAAAAGAAGTTGTGGGGGGTGTGATACAAATAAAGGTTTGATTGTCACCCTTTGTTTCTGGGTGGCAAGAGCAGCTCTGCCCTCTGAGAGGAGCAGTTGCAGGTGGCCTTGGGGCATTTCCCGTGCTCTGCTCTAAGCCAGGGGTTGTTCTTGCAGCTGGAGCTCACTGCACCCACCTGGAGCCCACCGGAGCTGTGGCATCCCCAACCTGGGCTGCAGCTCCTGCTGCTTCACTGTCCCCAGCGAGGACCTGAAGGGATTCATCACAGCCAAGTGCAGCTCTGGGCAACATCCTCGAGGGGGCTGCAGGCAGAATCGATCTCCCAGCTCCTGCTTCTCTTGCCAGATGCTGCAGGATTCTCTGACACCTTCTGTCCCTGGATCTCTTGGCTTGCCCAGCTGGAGGAGGTCTGAGGTCAGAGCTCGCCAGGGGCTGCAGCTCCAATCTCTGCTCTCATCACCAGGGACAGGACCCAAGGAACAGTGGGTGGAGAATGGCCTTTAGATAAAATCTCAAATTTCAACTCGGAGGAGGGAAGGAAAGATCATTATTTCTCTGGTTTCATGTGCTCTTTCTAACTGAAAGCCCAGCCTTAAAAGCCTGGGGGTTCCATGCTTCCCTACCCCCCCTAAAATCGTCCTGCATTGTTAAAATGCTGCTCGTCCTGCTGGGCAGCAGCCTGAGAGCTGAGGGAATGGGAAGTGAGGCCAGCCAGAGGCAGGAAGTGGAACCGAGGGCTCTGCTTTCATTTTCTGAGCCTTCTGAAGAAGGGAGGGGCCGGGGAAGGGGCCCCAAGCCTGCAGCATCACAGCTCCTCGGCAGGGCTGCTCAGGGGTGGCTTTTTTGGGGTGTAAATCACAAAAGCCCCCTGAGAGCCTTGCCAGGGTCTGTGTGCACAGGGGCTGTGTGTCCCCAGGCCATGCCTGCCCAGGAGCCCTTTGAAAAGACTTGAGTGAAAAGGAGAATTAACTTGTCCAACATCAGGCTCCTGTGGTCACTCAGCCAGTGCTGTCCCCAAAATCAGATGTCACTGTGACTGTGTCACTGTGGAGCACACCCTGAGCCCCAGAAGGGCTGTACTGAGCAAGGGGAGCACCACAGAGACCAGGGGTATTTGTGCCATCTCTTCCTCCTCTGGACTACCCCTCCCCATCTTTCTCCCTCTTTCATCCTTATCTCCTGTTTCCATGGCTGTGTCTGGCTTCTCCCAGACAGGACTGATGGAATCAGTCAAGGATGTTGATATCACAAGCTGTTGCTCTGTGTGGGGGCTCTGAAAAGCCCAATTACTGTAGAATTTGAAAGACATGGGGCTCCTGAGCACAGCTGTACAAAGTGTGCCTGGAGGAAAGAGGTAAATAATAATTAAAACCAGACTCATCCACTTTCTCTGGTTTTCCTGCATTTGTGTCTCCTGTTGGCTCATTAATCTGTATGGACTGTGCTATCCAAACAGGGGGTTGGAAGTGGGGTGGGTCCAAGGCAGACCTGTGAGGCCAGCCCAGCACTGATCCCATCCTGCCCCTGGCAGAGCCACTGAGGGACAGGGCACTGATGTGGCGGGGAGAGCATGAGACATGTCAGGGCAGAGGGGTGGATCCAGTCCTGGGGGGTCTCAAGGCTGGTGAATGCCTTTTGAGGGTGGTCTGGGCTCCCTTTGGAAGCTGGTGGAAGGTTCCAGCTGGGCTGTGCAGCTCACAGGGCAACACTGATGTGGAATTTGAAATCCTCATTCAGTTCCCAAAATGTGGGGGCTCCAGGGGGGCTTCTGGTCAGGGGTCTGCACTCTGGTCACCTCTGCCTAGTCCTCATGGTGTGCAGGACCCCTCTGAGCACTCCCCAAAGAGGGGAGGGCTGCCTCTTTCCCTTCCCTCCCTCCCCTTCCCCCCAGCCTCACTCACACACAGGTATCCAGGAATATTTCCATGGACACAAGCTCTTTCCACACTGCCTGGGCAGTAAGAGGCAGACCTGACCACTAGTCCCACCTCCCCAGGCCCCTGGGAACACAGGACAAGACAGGGAAGGCTGGGAAACCTTGTATTACAAAAATAAAGGCGAGCAGGTGAAGCTGCCGCGAGGCTCCAGCGCAGAACGTACCAGTGGAAGGCAAATATAAAAAACAGACACTGAAACCGTGGCAGGGCAACATCCTTAAGGCTGAACCATCCCAGCTGAACTGAGCTGATGTAAACCAAGGACCCTCCTCAGCCAGAGCCCCAGCAATGCAGGGCTGGCAGGGCTGGGAGCTCTGCAGTGGCTCACAGGCTGGATAAGCCCCCAGCTCATCCCTTTTCCATGGTGACAGGGCTGGGGGTCCCACGGGGGGCATTGCTTCTGCTCTGATCTCACTGGGGAGAGGGGCCTGCAGAGAGAGGGCTTCAGGTCTGGGGGCTGCACCCTGCTCACCTCTGCCCTGTCCTTACAGCCTGCAGGACCCCTCTGAGCACCCTCCAAAGAGGGGGCTCCCCCTGTCCCTGCCCCAGGTCCTGCTCTACATCAGCTCAGTTCACCCAGCTCAGCTCCTGCGGCTCCGCGGGGCTCCAGAGCGGGGCTGGCCCCGCTCACGCCGACTTGGTCCCGCTCTCCACCTCCTTGTGCACCCACAGCTCCTTGTGCTGCTTGCGCCCGAAGCCTTCGTCGTAGTTGCCTTTACTCTTGAAGAGCTGCTGGAAGTGGGGCTTGCAGTAGAATTCCCCGTGGAGCGCGGCGTAGCTGCCCAGGCTGGGGAGGGAGGGCAGGGTTAGCCGGGCAGGGAGACTGAGCTGCAGCCTGGGGAAAGGTGGGGGGCTTGGGGACACCGGGACAGCAGAGGGGACAACATGCAGGAGGGGACCCTTAGGGCCAACAGCTCCCTCCCACCAGCAGAGGTTGTTGGGGGCTGCTGTGAGTAGAAATGGGGGGTCAGCCTCGGTTCTGAGTCCTCTAGAAGGAGGCACTGGCTCAGCTCTGTGTTCCTCTGGGGCTGATCTCAAGGGGAAGCATCTCCCCTTCCACACCAGGTAGGGTTTAGCTGCCACTTGGGCCCAGGTGTGCAGATAAACCTTTGCTTTGCTGTGGTGGGTGGGCTGGGGGTCTTTGGCTACTGGCCATGGAGGGGCTGTGATGGGGGGGGACCATTTGGGAGGGTCTCAGCAGAGCTGCAGTGGCACCTGTCCCAGCACAGGGACAGCCTGGCTCACCTGAGCTTGGTGTGGCAGTGCTTGCAGCAGAAGCAGGAGTTGTGGAAGACGAATTTATCGGCCACCAGGCGCTCCATGGGATACACGGCTTTCTGGCAGGCAGTGCACATCTCCTTCACCTGCGCCTTCAGGCTGAAGGACTGGCCAAGGGCAGAGCAAAGGGAGACAGAGGATGAGGAAGGAGTTTGGGACAGCCTAGATCCCTCCACTGCCCTCTTCCCTGCCCTCCATTCACTGGAGCACTGGGGAGCAGGAAGCAGCCCCATCTCCCTCACCCTCCCTGGGCCACTCCACTGATGCTGGGCTGGGTTGGAGCTTGGCCCGTGGGCTTTTGGCCCTTCCACCCTTGCCAAGAATCAGCAGGATGAGGCCCTGGCACAGAGCAGCTGGGACTGCCCCTGGATCCCTGGCAGTGTCCCAGGCCAGGCTGGGAGCAGCCTGGGACAGTGGAAGGTGTCCCTGCCCAGGGCAGGGGTGGCACTGGATGGGCTCTGAGGTCCATTCCACCCCAGGCCATTCTGGGATGATTCTATGGAGTAGAAAAAGCAAAGGTACCTTGGAGCGCTGCACTGTGCTGCCTCCTGAGCTGGTTTTGGCCTCCTGAAAAGGGAAGGAGAAAGCAAAATGAGAGCTTGGCACAAGACCCTGACCAAACCCCTCTGTGACCTGCACCTGTAAGCCATCACCTGTGGCCCCACACAGCAGCTCTGCTCCAGATGCTGCTCCTCTTGCTGAGGGTCCACAGGGCTTGGGCAATGCTGCCCGGGCTCAGGGGGCACTGGCCCACTCCCCCTGGGCATAGCTGGGTGCCCTTCACTGTCCCAGAGCCTCTTGGGGCCAAGGTTTTGTTTCCAGTTCCTCCTTTCAGGCCCTCTGGGGCTGTGCAGGAAACGAGGGCACCTCAGGGGTGTGGGGAGGGCACAGGGCACTGAGCTCTGGGACTGCTGCAGCTCGGGGGCAGGTGCTGCCCAGCCCTGCAGCACCAGGGCACAGACCCAAGTGCTGAGCAGCCTCTCCCTGTGCCCCAGGGTCTCTCTGCACCGTGTCCCATCTGCACTGCATCAGCTCATCCCTTCCAAATCCCCCCCTGCTGCCCCCTCAGCAGTGAACACCCTGCACCCACCCCACACCTGCTGGGTCCCTGACAGCCACCCCAGGAGTTTCACCCTCCTTGGCACTGATGGGAGTGCTCCCTGCTTCCCAAAGTCAGGATCCAAGGGCACTCCAGCAAGGTGACCAGTCAGGGCTGGCTCATCCTCCTCACACCTTGTTCCCAAGGTCAGGACAGGGTGACCCCAGGACATCCCACCAGGAGGTCACCCTGCTGTCCTTGTCCTTCCTCTGGCTGCAGTTTGGCTCTGCCTGCCCAGCACTGCCCCTCTCTGCCCCCAGGCTGATCCCCACCCCCTGTTCCTCCTGCCTTGTCCTTCCCCATCGTTTCTCCTTTGTATTTTTGGAAACAGTTTGTCTAAGAGAGGCACAGGAAGCTCTCCCCTCGCCGAGCTGCCTCCTCAGAGGTTTCCCAGCTGCTCTCACTGCCTGAGGTCAGGGACTGATTTTCCTCTCAGTCCCACGAGGCTGGAAGCAGGAGCCAAAGTCAACAGTGGGACACGGGCAGCGAGGAGGCTCTGCCTGTGTAAAACCAGTTGCATCCCCTGGCACTGGGAGAACAACCGCAGGTGCTCTCCTGGGGTTAGGATTTAATAGGCTGTTTCCAAGCTCAGCTGAGCAGAGCTGAGGAAAACGCTGCCTCTCTGGAGCTGATACATCCGTTCCCAAGGCTGCAGCAGTCCAGGGTTGCTCGTCACTTCTCGGCAGCCTCCTGGCCAGGCACGCTCTCCGTTCCATATCTGACAGATCTTCCCTCGGGGCAGGGCCGTATCCTGTCCCAGCAGGAGATGTTCTTGAACCTTTATGTTTTTCCATCTCCAATCACTCCAGCCCTCAGCAGCTCGAAAGCTCTCAATTGTGATCACGGAAAGCCATGGAAACACAAACAAACAGACAGCAGCTCGAGGAGCTCTGGATGGAGCAGAGCCTGAGGCTGGAGCCCAGTGTGCTCAGCAAACAGCACCTTCTGCTGGAACATTCCTGTCCCCAGTTCTGTTGTTTGAGTAGCTGTGACTGTGCCTTTGATCACCCTAAAATGTCAGGTCAGGAACACAGCTTCTGTGCACAACCCTCCCCCCCTGAGAACCCAAACCCAGCTGAAATTCCCACACAAACCCCAGGATGCCACGTACATGAGCTGGGGCTGGGCTGGCGGCTCCCGTGGCCTGGAACATGGCTCCTTTCCCTTCTCCCTCTGTTCAGTCCTGAGCTGGAAGGCTGTGGGTCGATGTTCCCTGCAGTGGTGTCAAAGACAGACCTCTTGCAACAGCTGGAAAGGAAATGTCATCAGGAGTGGGGCTGGTTTCATCACCAAAGCCAGCAGGAGCTGGTGTGTGCTCAAAGCTCCCTCCAGGCTCAGATCAGCCCCGCTGGGCTGGGGCTTCCTGGGGGAGCCCAGAGACTGAGGCACACAGAACTGGACAGGAGATGCAGGTCTGGAAAACTGTGATAGCAGCTGAGGGTTTGGGGCTCTGAACACCTGGAAGGTGATGGGATGGCTCCTACTCCAAACCCACGTGTGGAAGCACCTGGCAGGCAACGACCACGCCACTGGCAGCAAGGCTGACCCCAAACAAAACAGCAAAACCAGCAGCCCGTGTTTCACTGATGCAGCCACTAAAGGACTGGTGCTGCTGGAGGAAGGACTGTGGTTTTAGTCTAATTTTAGCCCAGAAAAATCTCACTGTTCACAGCTCAGCAGAGCAAGCCATGGGGATTTTGTCTTCTCGAGGAGCCCACGGTGCCTTTAGGCTGAGCCCCGTGTGCAGTGCTGAGTGCCTGGGAGGATGAGGCTGACAGGGCTGGGACCAGCACAGGAAAAAACACCGGCATTGTAAATCCCCCTTTTGGTAAAAAAGAGCTAAAAAGGCACTGACAGCGCCTCAGGGGGTTTTCCCCACCACACTTTACCTTCAAAACACCCGTGAAAGACGAGCCCTGGTTTGAACACAGAGGACAGAGCTGTGGGGTTGAGTGATGCTGCCAAGGAAGGAGCAGAGCAGAGAAAAGGAGGGTGAAGGGGTGGCTCTGCAATGATGGGGATGAGCTGGAGGCTGAAAAACCAGCACCTGCCTCTGCCTGGGGCTGCTTTCCTGTCCTACTGAACTCCCTTGGCCTCATATTGCCACCCCAAAAACCTTCCTGCTGCCCAGGGACTGGGCTAGACCCTGAGAAAGCCCCAGGGCAGAGACACGTCGGGGTGGAGGGCTTGGGGCAGGGGCATCTCCTCAATGCCCACCTCACAGGGACATTGGCAGTCATGTCCTGAGTTTTAGGGGGCTCTTTGGCTGCCAAACCCCCAACAGCTGACAGCAGGCTTGAGTTACATCCAGCAAAGCACCCGAAATTCATGGCTGCTTTCAGAGTTTAAAGACCCATTTCCCCAGGTCCTGGGCACTTGGTGGGTGCCCCTCACAGCCCTGGGGCTGCACAGCCCTGCTTGCAAACGTTGCACAGCCTCAGCTGAGGCCCAGGCTGTTCTATCAGAATCATTTCCCGTCTCTCTGTGGTTTGGTTGTTATTTCCTGCTCTCCCAGCTCGCTCGCAGGCAGCTGCTGCTGAACCCAGCATCTGCTGGGGGCCAGGGCCCACCCCACAGCCCCTCCCTGCCCCCAGCCCTGGGACAGGACCTTCTCTTCGTGCCTCCAGGGTCTGTCAGGTCCTGCAGCCCAGCACAGACCCCTCCAGGGTCTGTCAGTCCTGCAGCCCAGCACAGACAAACGTGAGGGACCCACAAAACCTGGTGTCCCCACTCCACGCACACCTCTGACACAGATGCACAACCCTCCCCCTTTTCACCTGCTTTTCACCTTCACCCCAGCCTTTCTTACAAATATTTGTCCTCCACCAACTTCCCTTCCCTCATCTTCCTCCCCAACCCCAGCCACCTTCTTCCCCTCGGTGTTTCCAGAATCCCCACACCCCTCCTGCCCTTCCCCAGAAGCTGCTCCACTGGAAGGTCCCTGCCATGGCAGGGGGTGGGATGAGATGAGCTTTAAGGCTCCTCCAACCCAAAAAATCCATTCAGGGGTTCTCTGATAAGCGCATTTTTACTTCCACCCACTATTTGTTTCTCTGCTCCTCGTGCCCCCAAACCCCTTTCCCTTCAATTCCACCCACTTATCGCCGCCATGGTGGGATGTTTCCCACCCTGTGCCCTCCATGCACAGACCCTCTGGTGCCCGTGCTTCCAGCGAGCCCCTCACTGCAGCTGCTGCCCCAGGAGCTGCTGAACCTCCTTCCTGCTGCAGGGCAGGAGGCAAGAGCACAAATCTCGAAGGGGAAGGGTGTGCTGGGGCAATAAGGGAACCAGAACAAGTGAGAAACTGCGGGAGGGACTCTTGGAGGCTCCTGGCTGTGCCATCGCTCTTCCCAGGAGCACAGCTCGGGGCTGGGGCCCAAGGCAGCCACCAGCAGCCTCCAGGAGAGGGGGAGAGTGGTGACACGGGCAGTGCCTAAGGACATGCTGCCACACTGATGTTATAGAGCCTTCACAAGGGCTCGGGGAGCCTCGGGGCTCGCTGGCTTTGAGGGGTGCAGCGGGGACAGGTGACAAAGCCATGGCCGTGCCCCACAGTGGGGACTGGCACCGTAACTGCCACACCTGACTGTTCCAAACCTCAGGTCCCTAAAGGCCTTAGCCACTTGCACAGCCTGGGAACAGCAAGAGCAAGGACTGTGCTCCTCTCCAGGTCATGCCAGCAGTTTCAGATTTTGGGCTCAGGACAAGGCGAGAACCCCTTTGCCTTCCAGCCTCTCTCGTCCTGCCCTTGTAGCAACTGAGGCCTCCAAGCAGGGAGCAGTTTGAGGGGAGGAAGGCAACGCTGCTCAATCACAGAGCTTTTCCCTAACAGCCTCCTGCATCCCCTCTTACCTTCCTGCCTGACCCTGGAGCAGATGGAGGGAGAGGGAACATCTGAGGTGGCCCCTCAAGGCAGCCCCCCGACCTCAGCCTGCCTCTGAAGGATCAGGTTTCCTGCAGCCAGGAGGGGTGCAGGGAGCCCTTCCCCGTTCCCCTCTCCAGAGGGGCCACCAGGGCTGCCCCAGTGCAGACAAAGCAGGGCAGGCCCAGCAGTGCAGACCCAGCAGTGCAGGCCCAGCAGTGCAGGCCCAGTGCAGGCCCAGCTGTGCAGGCCCAGCCCAGTGCAGACCCAGCAGTGCAGACCCAGCAGTGCAGGCCCAGCCTGGTGCGTTCCGGCAGGGAAGGAGCCTGAGTGCGGAGGGCGAGGGGCCCCTCTCTACCAGATGGTTCCCATTAGCAGCCCTGAGAGGGGTTTGTTTATTTCAGGGATCAGTGCTCCACTGCAGGAGGCTTTCCCTAAGGCAAAGCACGGCGTGGGGGAGCTGGGCCCCCTTCCTCCTCCATCCTGGGAGGACGTGGAGTGTCCCCAGAGCATGGCGAGGCACGGGCAGGGGAGGCAGCTCGGAGAGGCTGCCAGGCCTTTCCCCAGGAAATCTTGGGCTGAGCTGGTGGCTGTGGGGATGGATGGCCACGAGATCCTGTGCAGGATCAGTGAAACCCACACACAGGGCAGTGCTGACCCTCCAGCTCCATGGCCATCATCCCTTTCAGCTGGCCAGTGTGGGGAAGAGGTGAACAGGAGCTGGAAGAGCCTGTCTCCTGAGCCTGGCAATCACCCAGCTCCCAAGGCTCAGTTTCTGCAGTCTTGGGGTCTCACAGCTGACCCACACCATGAAACCGAGTGTGGTGCAAAACCAGCATCAAACAGGCCAGGCCAGAGCCAGGCACAGCAGTGCCAGGGAAGGGATGATGGAGTGGTGGCCACTCACAGCTCCTGCTTCAGGCATGGAATCCCTTAATTCTGCTTCAGGTCTTGGCTCTTGTATGGCTTTGAGCCAGCCACTTGACCTCATAGTACTGGGGACACAGAGCAGGGCCCTGCTGGCTCAGCACAGGGGGGAGGACTTCAGGGAGGAGAATCCAGACATTTCTGGGGACACCCCTACCTGCTCCTGAGATTCCTGGGGAGTGGGCCTGCCCCTGCCTCACCCCACAGCCAGGAGCCACCTTCCACCAGCCAGCTCCACTAATCCCCTTTCCATCCACGTTCTGCCTCTTGAGAGGCTGCCAGTGGGCAGGAAATCTGCAGCCGAAATGCTGAGGGATGCTGACAAGGAATAGTTGTGGGGAGGAACAGGGCTGCCTTTGTCATGGCAACAATGGGGGACCCACAGGAGTGAGGGGGAGCCCGAGGGAAGCCCCTGCCCACCCGCTCCCCTCTGCCACTTTCATCCCTGCCTCCCCTGAGGAGGAAGTGCACAGCTCTGGAAGCAGCAGGGGACTGGGCTGGTCCCTGCCCTGCCTCTTAGTGAGGGGCACACAGGCCAGGAGGATGCTACTGGGATTCACCTGCTGTCCAGAAGCAGAAACTGAGGCAGCCCATTCCTGGGATTTGGCTGTGTTTAATAGCATCCATTAAAAATCATGATCTGAAGGGAGTCTCTGCTCCCTGGCATCTCCTGTCTTGCTGGGAGTTCAGATAGAGCAGAGAAGCACAGCAGAAATCCTGCCAGGAGGATGAGAAGAGGATTTTTCAAGCAGAGACAAATTCTCAGTAGTGCCAGACAAAAACTGCAGGTTGAGAGGTTCAGGCTGGACATTAGACAGAAGTGCTTCACTGGGAGAAATCTTGGAAGCTCTGCAGAAGGGACTAATGAGGTGCAATATCAACCTGCTGCAAACAAGCCCAACAGGCAAACAGAAGCTCATGGCTTCCCTGCCCTTGTCAGCTCTTCCCTGATCTCTTCCATAAACCATTTCCACCTGGAAACATCACCCTGGTTTCTTACACAAATGTACATCCACTTACCATTCAACATTAGTTATTCTCCCATCATATTTTGCCTCTCAGTGAGATTCACAAAGAGTAACCACATTCAGGAGAAGCAGATTCCTTTTAAGCTGTTCTCACCTGGTGGGCTCTCTGTTGCCACAGCCACCATGGTGGCCCCATCAAACAGGTCTGGCAGCTCCACACTGGGAGATCTCAGACCTTGGTATTTGATACAAAACTCCAGCACCCCTGAACACCTCTGGCCTGATGTGTCCTTACATCCCTCCTTGCAGAAGAATCCAAGTGTCTTCCTTGCATTTTGCTCTCTTTTCCCTGTCCTTTTTCCTGTCTCCACCTAAAATAATCATTTCCTTGGGGCTCTATCACGAGGCCCTGTTGTTTCAGAAGTCATTTATCATATCCAAGGAAGACACTGAGCCAGCGTGACATGAGCTGTGTTAAAACCACCCAGAATTTTGTTCTGCTTCCCAACAGCACATCTCTGATTACTCTTCCAGAACCTGTTCTAGAAACCAACCTTTCCTTGTACTCCAGTTAATGGGACCTGGAATTGCCTGTAATTTCCTCCTTCCTCTAACACAGCCTCTCAGTGTTGCCTTGGCTGATTTCCTCTCGTGGAATATCACCTGTTCCTCACCAGACTCTGGACTGGCATTCCCTGTGGTGGAGTCCCCATCCCTGGAGGGGTTTAAGGCCATGGGGAGGTGGCACTTGAGGACATGGTTAGCGGTGGCCTTGGCAGTGCTGTGGGAGTGGTTGGACACCATGATCTTAGAGAGCTTTTCCAGCCTGAGGGAGTCTCTGATTCCATGGGGTGAGCCCATCTCTTGGGCCCTAGAGACCCCACAAAAAGCTTTTGCTGTTTCATCACCTGCAGATGCAGTAAGAGCAGG